TTCTGATATAGCAAAGGGTTTTGACAATATTTCCTATCAAACTCTGTTTGGTTTTTTCTGTCCTGTGGCCACTACAAGATAAAATATGCTTGAAACATTGTCAAAGGCTTTCATGACCTGGATCACTGGGTTGCTGTGAGTTTTCTTGACTGTATGGCCATGTTCCAAAAGCATTCTCTCCTGATGTTTCACATCTATGGCAGGCATCCTCAGAGGTTGTGAGTCTTATGTATCTATGGAATGTCCAAGGTGGGAGAAAGAACAACACTCAGAAAACAGGGGAATTCCAGACAGGAAACAATCAGGGATAACTAATATCTCCTAACAAAGGATTCCCCAAGGCAGGAGGCAGCCAGGCTTTGAGGTTGCAAGGCCATTCAATGCTAATCAAGGTGGCTAATTGCAACATTCACACTCGCCTCCAACAGACAAGAGTTCTTTCTCCTACCCTGGACATTCCACAGATATATAAACCCCACTTGCCTCATTACCAACAGACCCCTCAACCTCTGAGGATGCCTGCCATAGATGTGGGTGAAACAGCAGGAGAAAATGCTTCTGAAACATGGCCATACAGTCTGGAAAATCACAGCAACCCAAAGCTTGAAACATACATGGACTTATTCTCTCACATTATTCTGACTAAACTCTGTCTGAGCTTTTGTTATGGTGAAGAATAAAGTTAGAACTCTTGACTATTTCTTCAGGGGTTCCTTATTCTGTACCAGTCTTACCTCTTACTTATCTAGACTGAGACAGCTGCTTTTTCCTTCTTTCTTCACCAGCACATCCTTATCTCCCTCTCCCTTCAGCAATCATAAATTGGACCACTCCTATCTGCCACATATACAGTAAGTTTAAAAGAAACATGCTTACTCAATAGTTAGTATTTGGCAAACTGCTGGAGTAAGTGTTGTACTGCTTACACTTTTATTCATTTCCACAATGGGAATATTTGTGTTTTATTAAGTGCATGTTTTGTTAAAGAAACAAGATCTCCCCCTTTACGTTTCTTTTGCTGTTGCCATGTGCCTTCAAGTCATGTCTGACCTAGGGCTACCCTAAGGCAAAACTATCACAGGGCTTTCTTGACACAATTTGTCCAGAAGAGCTTTGCCATTGTTTTCCTTCGAGGCCAAGAGGGTGTGACATACCTAATTTGGGTTTTTGTGGTTTATAGGAGATTCACGTCTTGTTCTCCAGTCATAAGGTGCATCTACAGCAGGAATGGGCAACTTTAGCCCTCCAGCTGTTTTGGTCGAAATTTGCCCATTCCCAATCTACTGTGTAGAATGAATATAGTTTCATGCGGTAGCGCAATGAGTTAAACCATTGTGCCAACAGGACTGCTGACTGAAAGGTTGGTGGTTTGAATCCAGGGAGCAGGGTGAGCACCTGACTGTCAGCTCCAGCTCCTCATGCAGGGACATGAGAGAAGCCTCCCACAGGATGGTAAAACATCCAGGCATCCCCTGGGCAACGTCCTTGCAGACAGCCAATTCTCTCACACCAGAAGCTACTTGCAGTTTCTCAAAAATGAAAAAAAAAACTTTAACTGCCAGGGCTCAATGCTATGGAGTCACAGAAGATGGCAGTTTTCAAGGGCTTTAGACATCTCTACCAAAGAGCACTGGTCCTCCCATCAAACTACAACTCGCAGCATTCCACAGCATAACCTCCAGGAAGTTAAAGTGGTGTCAAACTGTCTTCATACTACAGTTTAGAGAGATATACCTTATGACTCTGGAGAACAAGGCTCCAGTCTCAAATCATATTGGAAACCCACCTGGAGACATTGGGCAAGTGACACACTCTTGACTTCAGAGGAGGGTTGTAAGAAACCCTTCTGGACAACTCTTCCCAAGAAGACATTGGGCAGTGTGAATGTCCCACAGTCCCAACACTCAAACCACTACACTATGCTGCCTCCAAAGCTTTCCTTTGCCCTCTTTCGAAAGGGAAAGCACAAACCCAAAGAAGGACAAGAGATAACTTATCATTCTCCCTGCTCCCTGCTTATCTCAGACTAAAGTTTTTTTCTCTCTTTCTCTCTAGAGTTTCAGAAGGAAGTTCCTCCTTCTGCCTTTCCAGTGCATTGTTTATAAACAACTCTCCGCCCACGAAGAGAGGGAGGGATTCCTTCAAGTAACAGGCAAAGAAGGGGGAGAAGGAACCGAGCACGATTTCCCCATAGAGAGAGACACTTCTACGGCCTTAGAAGAGGTCACAGGTTGGGCAATGGGCATCCTCTCAGTGTGGCTTCAAAAACAACCTGCTAAGAGTCAGCCTTGCATCTCGGTTACAAGATTATGATAGGATAATAATGATGATAATAATAGAATGAAGCTTCCCTGGATTTTTCCAGGGTCTAGCCTAGGCATGAGCAAACTTGGGCCCTCTGGGTGTTTTGGACTTCAACTCCCACCATTCCTAACAGCCTCAGGCTCCTTCCTTTTCTCCCTTAGCTGGTTAAGCGGCTTAAGTCCAAAACACCCAGAGGGCCCAAGTTTGCCCATGCCTGGTCTAGCCTTTTTTCTCCAGAGGAAAATCCAATCCATCTTTCCACACTCTTTCCTAGACCTGACCTTCATCAGAGATGTTTCATCTTTAGAGATGTGCTCACCAAGGCTTCCTCGCCAGATGTTCACCAATGCTTCCTCCTCATCCTGGAAAGAAGTGATGAGTGGAGTGCCACAGGGTTCCATCCTGGGCCCAGTCCTGTTCAACATCTTTATTAATGGCTTGGATGTTTGTTTGTTTTTTGTCATGCCAGGAGCGACTTGAGAAACTGCAAGTTGCTTCTGGTGTGAAAGAATTGACCATCTGCAAGGACGTTGCCCAGGGGATGCCCGGATGTTTTTGATGTTTTATCATCCTTGTAGGAGGCTTCTCTCATGTCCCCGCATGAGGAGCTGGAGCTGATAGAGGGAGCTCATCCACACTCTCCCTGGATTCAAACCTGCGACCTGTCAGTCTTCAGTCCTGCCAGCACAGGGGTTTAACCCATGGCACCACCGAGGTCTCCTAATAACTTAGATGAAGGGTTAGAAGACATGATCATCAAGTTTGCAGATGACACCAAATTGGAAGGCAGAGCCAATACTCCAGAGGACAGGAGCAGGATTCAAAACAATCTTGACAGATTAGAGAGATGGGCCAAAACTAACAAATGAAGTTCAACAGTGACAAATGCAAGATATTCCACTTACGCAGAAAAAATGAAATGCAAAGATACGCAATGGAGGATGCGTGGCTCAATAGCAGTACGTGTGAAAAAGGTCTTGGAGTCCTCATGGGCAACAAGTTAAACATGAACCAACAATGTCATGTGGTGGCAAAAAAAGGCCAATGAAATTTTGGCCTGTATAAATCGGAATCTAGTGTCTGTATCCAAGGAAGTAATGCTACCCCTCTATTCTGCCTTGGCTAGACCACACCTGGAATACTGTGTCCAATTCTGGGCACTGCAATTGAAGGGAGATGTTGACAATCTGGAATGTGTCGAGAGGAGGGTGACTAAAATGATCATGGGTCTGGAGAACAAACCCTATGAGGAGCGGCTTAAAGAGTTGGGGAATGTTTAGCCTGCAGAAGGGAAGGTTGAGAGGAGACATGATAGCCATGTACAAATATGTGAGGGGAAGTCATTGGGAGGAGGGAGCAAGCTTGTTTTCTGCTGCCCTGGAGACTAGGATGCTGAAAAAATGGCTTCAAACTACAGGAAAGGAGATTCCACCTGAACATTAGGAAGAACTGTGATAGCTGTTCAGCAGTGGAACTCTCTGTGCAGGTGTGTGGTGGAGGCTCCTTCTTTGGAGGCTTTTAAGGAGAGGCTGGATGGCCATCTGTTGGGGGATGCTTTGAATGCGATTTTCCTGCTTCTAGGCAAGGGGTTGGACTGGATGGCCCATGAGGTCCCTCCCAACTCTATGATTCTATGATGTGGTAACCCGCCTCGAGCCACGAGGAGATTTGGGCAGGAAATACTACTATTGTTAGGATGCTGATTGCGTTTCCTCGCCCCCTCCTTCTATGGCCTCGCGCCCCATTTGGAAGAGCGGCTCCTTTTCTCTTTCAGGAAGTGTCCCACGTTATTTGGCCCCCCTACAATCTGAAATCTATTGTTTCTCGTCGACGGCCGCTTTCTCTTCTCACAAAGTGGAGGCGCCGCGGGGGAAAAAGGAGAAAGGGCCTGAGGCGAGCACCCTCTTCCCCCTCTTTTGCGTGGCCCGGGGCGAGCAGTAGCCACTGCCTACGTGTGTGGAGGAGGAGGAGGAGGAAGAAGGGAAGAGGGAAGGGCTGCACATCGCCGCCTCCCTCGCCTTTCATTTCAATCCAGGGCCGGGGAGGGGCTGCCACTCTGTCAGATCCAAGCCAGTGAGTGAGGAGAGAGTTCGGGGAAAGTGTGAGGGGCGGGGCCAAGGGATAGGGGCGGGGCTTGGCTTGCTAGCCCCTCTCCTTGGGCTCGAGGCGGTCGCTCCGCCTGTGTTTGCCTCTTTGAAGGGGAGAGTGTGTCGCGCCGGGGAGGGGCTGCCATTCTGTCAGATCCGAGCCAGGGAGTGAGAGGAGAGGGTTCGAGGAAAGTGTGAGAGGCGGGGCTAAGAAGCGAGGGGGCGGGGCTTGGCTTGGCTGCCCCCCTCCCTCCTTGGGCTCGAGGCGGTCGCTCCGCCTGTGTTTGTCTCTCTGAAGGGGAGGAGAACGAGAAGGAAGGCAAGAGGGAGGGAGGTGGAAGAAGGGAGCCCCTCATGCCGCCGCCCCCCTCCCCTTCCTCCCGCGAAGGCACCGGGGGACCCTGGACGCTGCCCGGGTGATGCCTTTGGTGCCTCCGGAGCAAGGAGGAGAGGAGGAGGAGGAGGAGGAGAAGGGGAAGGAGGAGAGAGCGGAGGCCGAGGCCGGGCGGGGCGCGCGGGGCTGCTTCTGCCCGGCGGCGGGCCCGGGCTCTTGGGGGACGGATGCCGCGGAGGGGCCGGGGCCTGGGGGCTCGCGAGGCAACGCCGGCGCCCAGCGCGGAGGAGAGGAGCGCCAGGAGGAAGAGAAGGAGGCGGAGGAGGAGGAGGCGCAGGCGGAGCAGCAGCAGCAGCAGCCCTGAGATGCGCTCCCCAGTCCTTCCCCACCAGCGGCCATGTTAACCACCAGGAAACCTGCTGCCGGGGCTGGAGGAGCCGCTGCTGCTGGTGAGATTGAGCGAGGGGTTGGACAGGGCAGCGGGGCCCAGCCCCCAGTGGGAAAGGCCCTTGGAGGAAGGCCCGGCGCCGCAGGTCCAAGGGCAACCCTACAGCCCAGAAGATCCAGGCAGAAAATCCCACAATATCTGAGCGTGGGCTTAGGGCCCTTCCACACAGCCCTATATCCCAGAATATCAAGGCGGAAAATCCCCAAAGATCTGAATGTGGATTTAGGGCCCTTCCACGCAGCCCTATATCCCAGAAGATCAAGGCGGAAGATCTGAATGTGGACTTAGGGCCCTTCCACACAGCCCCAGAATATCAAGGCAGAAAATGCCACAATATCTGAGTGCGGACTCAGGGCCCTTCCACACAGCCCTATATTCCAGAATATCAAGGCAGAAGATCTGAATGTGGACTTAGGGCCCTTCCACACAGCCCCAGAATATCAAGGCAGAAAATGCCACAATATCTGCTTTGAACTGAGTTATCTGAGTCCACATTCAGATAATATGGGATTTATGCCTTGATCTTCTGGGATATAGGGCTGTGTGGAAGGGCCCTAGATAACCCAGTTCAAAGCAGATATTGTGGCATCTTCTGCCTTGATATCTGGGCTATAGGGCTGTGTGGAAGGGCTCTAAGTCCACACTCAGATATTGTGGCATTTTCTGCCTTGATCTTCTGGGCTATAGGGCTGTGTGGAAGGGCTCCTAGAGGACAGCGACGCTTCTATAGTCGGCGTTGCAGGGTCATCTCTTCCCCCCTTGAGGGAAACGGGGACAGGCAAAAACCCACTCGGAGTGGGGCTCCTGGGCTGGCCTTGGATCGGGCTCTGCGTGGAGACCCTTCCCTGCCATCGAGGCCCCAGACCAAGCGGAGAAAGGAGGGGGGAGGGAGGAGGGGACTGCACGCCACTCAAATCCCCCCTGGCTTCTCCCTTCTGCCTCTGCGGCGTGTGGGTTGACCGTGGATGAAGGAAGGTTGACCCGAGGGGACGGGATCGCCCCTCCCCTCGCGAGCACCCCATCCCCCACCCCTCCGCAATAGAGGAGGGGGCGGGGGGCTCCCTCTGTTGTGTTTCCCCCCACTTCCTCTTCCTGGACCCTCTCAGGCTCTCCTCTTTAGCCTCTCTCTTCTGGCTTCTTCTCCCTCCTCAGGCAGCAGGGCAGTAGCAGGAGGAGGAGGAGGAGGAGGAGGGGAGGGCGCCCTCCAGTGCCAGCCTTCGCCAGGCCTCGGCGCCGGAGGGGCCTCCCGGGCCGGACCGGGCACCGCTGGACCGCCTTCGCCCATCGCTTTGCCGCCGCTCAAGCCCAGCAGCGCTGCCCACACGGTGAGGAAGAGCGAGGCCGGGATTTAAGGGTGGGGGCTTTGGAGGGATGGGTATATATATATGATCTGCTCAGTGTCAACCTTGGACTCTCCCTCGCTCTGTCTCTCTCCCTCCCCTCCATCCCCATCCCCATAAGATTTGAATGCCAGCTTCTCATAAGCCCCCCCCCCAACTGCCTCCCCCAATTGCTTCTGCTCTCCCCCCCCCCCGTGCCAACCTTGGACCCTCCTCCCTCCCATCCATCCCCAGAAGACTTGAATGCCAGCCACTCATAAGCCCCCCCCCCCCAACTGCCTCCCCCAATTGCTTCTGCTCCTCCTTCTCCTCCTTTCCTGGGTATTAATAGCAAGCAATCTGCAAGGTACAGTCAGGCTGCCAGCCAGCCTGTCTGAGTGGGAGGTGGGCATGAGCTTGCTTTCCAGGGCATGGAGGAGCCCCATTAATTCCCCGCCACCGCCGGCATGTCTCAACACGTCCTAGTCCTCTTCCCTGTCTGGTTTCAACAGGTACTTGTGATTTCGTTGTAGAGGGGCAGAAGGGTAAGAGGGGAGAAGCAAGGTCTGGAGGCGCTCTGGAGACTGATGAACGCTCTGGGCCACTTTGGCAAGGAGAGATGGAGCCCTCCAGTCAGGTCACCTGTGTGAGCCATGCAAGGGTGTTGCATCGCTCACATCACAACTGGAGGAGGCTTTTGCATCTTTCTCTGTGAGGCTCATTCAAGATTTCAGTGCTGGGTGATGGATTCAAAACAAAGGAAAATAAAAAGGGGCCTGCTCAGGAGGTTGACGAGGTGAGAAAGAATGGTCCTTGTGGCTGGACTGAAAAGCCACTGCTGGTTTGGTCATCTTTCTGGTGGCTGTCATTTTCTCAACAAGTTTTTGGTACAGTCTAGTCAATGCAGTGTGGTTATAAGAGTGTTTCTGGAAGATGTAGTTAGTCATTTTATGACAAAGGATTCACCTCTCAGAACTAAAAGAAAAGTTCTTATTTTGGGTTGCTGTGAATTTTATGGGATGTATGGCCATGTTCCAGAAGCATTCTCTCCTGATGTTTCACCCACATTGATGGCAGGCATCCTCAGAGGTTGAGAGATCTGTTGGAAACGAGGCAACTGGGGTTTATATATCTGTTGAATGTCCAGGGTGGGAGAAAGAACTCTTGTCTGCTTGAGGCAAGTGTGAATGTTGGAATTGGCCACCTTGATTAGCTTTGAATGGCCTTGCAGCTTCAAAGTCTGGCAAGTTGCTGTCTGGGGGGGGGGAATTCTTTGTTGGGAGACGTTAGCTGGCCTTGATTGATTCTGGATTTCCCTGCTTTTTGGGTGTTGCTCTTTCTTTACTGTCCTGATTTTAGACTAGTTGTTAGACCACCCCAGACCTGATGATCCATTTCCAGTGGAACAGCCAGAGACAGTAAAGTAGGCTGGAGTGTGACACTACCCTTGTAAACACCATTCACTAGGGAAACAGGTGTTGGCATTATTTGCAAGGCTGTGGTTTCTCACATAATCTTCAAGTTGCAGCTAATCTGCTACAAGGGAGGGAACTTCTCAAGCATGATGATCTATTTATGGAAGGTGGAGAAGGGCAGAATATATTTCTAGGTGGGTAGAAATAAGGTCTGTTGAGGTTTTATGCATTGATTCTAGCTGTTGCATCAAACCTGAAAAATATGTTGGACTGTAAAAGAGATTTTAGAATCTAAATTATGATGCCTTCTGATGCAAATGACAGCTCCTCGGTCTAAAATCTCCCTTCTCTGATGGATTTGTTGCTGGCAGTGTGGCACTCTGTATATATTTAGGGGCATTCAACTTTCTAGCTTACATGTTTTGAAACTGATCCCTGGAACTAAAAATCTGTTCCAGAGCCAAGCTTTGCAATGCTGTGGCTCGAATTAGGGTTGTGTGGAGAGGGAGATACTGTCTGCATTCGGATTTCAGTATTGGGTGATCTTCCAGAATTGCAACAACATTGGAATGATATCACCTGCAAAAGTTAATCATTTTGATGCACACCCATTCCATTAAGAAGCATGTCATGCATTGGCTTCTGTTAGCCTGCATCAAAACTGTGACCATGCAGTAATGCACATGTTCACACCAGTATGTTTTGCATTCATGCTGTATGATCAAATTGGTGAAAGGGTTATGTGTCATTTAAATATTCTAAGTAGACCAAAATATTCCATCTTCATACTGGCATTGAATGTTTGCCTTTTATGTTTGGAATCCACCCTGAGTCCCTTTGGGGAGATAGAGTGGATTATATATAACGATTATTATTATTATTATTATTATTATTATTATTATTATTATTATTATTGCTTTTCAAGGTTATAGACAGATAAATATACCCCTGGTGGTGCAGTGGGTTAAACCCTTGTGCTGGCAGAACTGCTGACCAAAAGGTTGGCAGTTTGAATCTAGGGAGCAGGGTGAGCTCCCATCTGTCAGCTCCAGCTTCTCATATGGGGACATGAGAGAAGCCTCCCACAGGATGGTAAAACATCTGGGTGTCCCCTGGGCAACATCCTTGCAGACGGCCAATTCTCTCACACCAGAAGCGACTTGCAGTTCCTCAAGTCGCTCCTGACACACACACACACACACACACACACACACACACACCTGTCAATTTACATTTCACTTTGATTTTCCCTTTCAGTTTTTTAAGTGTCCATGAGGCCCTTTTCCCATCAAGCTCTTTTTCCAAGAGTGGTTCCTTCTCACCTTTTTCCACCTCTGAGGTTTCTCCCTCACACAGTAAGCTGGTGCCATTGGCATAGTATTTCTCACAACTGCACAAAAATGGAACAATTGATATTATACTTTTTGCATTAAGGTTTTGTGTAATTAACTTGTAAGTTATACTCCTTAATGAAATATTGACTGCCATGTCCCTGTCTGATTTATTTAGTGTGCCTGTTGTTTTGTCTCTTCAAAAATTGTCCTTTTAAATGAGTCCAGGATTGATTTTTGTCATAGAATGAAAGTACAGGAGCTTGAAGTCTGAGCTTTCTGAAATGCCTGAGTGAGCTCATGTGGGGAAGTGCTGTGTACTATAAAAGAAACTGGGATTTCTGCTCTGTATTTATGGCAACCTGTGTTGCTAAGCAGATGGTCATCTGTGTGTTGCAAGTGGAGCTGTCTTCAGACTGCAGTTTGTTCCCCAGCCCACATTTTCATTGCCTTGCAATTGCAGTCAGGGAGTTTCTCATCATATTTAAGGCTCCATCGCACTTTTATTTTATGGATTTTTTTTTTACTTTGGGAGCATTATTTCACAGCCCATCTCTTTCCTGAATAATATGATTAATTGGATAGAATGTCATAACCCTGTTCGGACATAAACATTGGTAGATGGTCTTTGGTGAACCTTTCTTAGCCTTAGTCCCATCTGTAAAATGGAAACCAAATGCCTGTTGTCAGTGATGCATTCATTCTAAAGGAACTTTGTGAGAGTAATGGTAATAATAGTAGCAAGAATAGGAATTATAACACAGATATTTTTTTTTAGAGACGTGGTGGTGCAATGGGTTAAACCTTTGTGCTGGCTGAACTGCTGACCTGAAGGTTGGTGGTTCAAATCCACGAGATGGGGTGAGCTCCCATCTGTCAGCTCCAGCTTCCCATGCGGGGACATGAGAGAACTTCCTACAGTATGGTAACACATCCAGGCGTTGCCTGGGCAATGTCTCTGCAGATGGCCAATTCTCTCACACCAGAAGCAACTTGCAGTTTCTCAAGTTGCTTCTGACATGGTAAAAAAAAGAATAAAGATAATTCGTGATCATCTTTGCTATTGCTTGAATCACAGCTACCTTGTCTTCAGCTTCCCAACTTGTTTCTGGTATCCCTGCAATATACTAAGGGAAAGACTGTATGTCCACCCACTTTCTGTACAGAGCAATGTTCTACTTTCATTCTCATCATTCTTTCTTTTCATACCAAATGTGAACATTTCTTTTACTTTTGAGAGCTTGCCCTTTCCATATGGATTGCTGTCTGTGCTACCTGTCATCTCATGCTTTCCCTGCTTCTTCTTAAAATACTTCATTCAATTTCTCTGTCATTTGTCCTAACAATTCTCTCCATATTCAGGCTCTTCTTTGGTCTGGATGACATGTTAGGTCCATTATGGATGGAAGCTGTGCCAGATTTGGTGTTTGTAGTTCTTTCAGTGGAATGGATGAGTTACTTGCTATGCATTAATTACCTATGATAGCCATAGTATGTCAAATATTTGACCATTGTCTCTTTTATGTAGTGATAGCTATGTGATTATTAACTTTAAGTCAAGAGAGAAGTTAAGTATGAAATCTGGGAGGACTGATAAAGCTGAGTCTTGGTATTTGAAAAAATGTCCAGATACAAAACTTAGGGGATTATAAGGCAGCTTTTCCCAGCCTGTGATTCCCAATCCCTGATCACTGGCTGTGCTTGTAAGGACTCATTGGAGTTACAGTCTAAGAGCAACTGGATATCTTAGCCCAGTGGTTCTCAACCTGTGGGTCCCCAGATGTTTTGGCCTTCAACTCCCAGAAATCCTAACAGCTGGTAAACTGGCTGAGATTTCTTGGAATTGTAGGCCAAAACACCTGGGGATCCACAGGTTGAAAACCACTGTCTTAGACTATGATGTAAAATGTAGTTCCCAGAGCTTGGAAAGCAAATTTTCTGGCTACAGCTTTTAGGATTGCTATTCCAGAGTTAACCATATTGAATGGGATATTCTTGGAGTTGTATTCATTGAGCTACTTTTATCTCCTGAATCTGATAGAAGAATCATGGAATCATAGGTCTGGGGTCAATATTCTGCCAGCATAGGATGAAACAGCTAAAGTGTTTCATGCATGGTGTCCAGTGGTTCTCAACCTGTGAGTCCCCAGATGTTTTGGTCTTCAACTCCCAGAAATCCTAACAGCTGGTAAACTGGGATTTCTGGGAGTTGTAGGCCAAAACACCTGGGACCCATAGGTTGAGAACCAATGTTCTGACC